GTCCGAGTTTAACGATGCGTTACTTCTCAACGACCAGCGTATATTTCCTCTCGATCCCATGCCTCTCAACATAAACGCGAAGCAGGTCATCACCGAGGTGGAGCAGGAAGAGACGGATGCGGATGCCGAAGACGGCACAAATCCCAACAGACACCGGAGGATACTGTTTCCCCTACAATATGAGCATACAATCTTCCGCGCCGACGAACCAGAACTCTGGTGGCTCCAGTTCAATGCGACTGGCTTGCCATGGGGAGAGACCGCTGAACCAATCAAGTTGGGTCAGAGGATTGTTCAGATCCTGGTGCACAAGGAACTCGATGAGAATATGGAAGGTGGACATATACTCTCCATCGAAGAAGTACTAGTCGTCTCCGCAAAGGGCAAGATGCCACCGCCGAGGATGAAGTGTGGCAAGCTGGCCATGATGCAAACAACATTTGACCCACGTGAGTGGGACGAGTACGGTAAATTTGGCACGTTGTCGAGGGCCTGGAACGCTTTTGTTGGCAGAATACAGGTTGGAAAGGATGCCCTACTTCTCCCGCTCCTTGCACTGCTTGCGGCTAGCCTCGTCATGGCACGTCGCCTGTTTCTGCAGAGACAACAGGAAAAGCCTGGCACAGACTCAGAGGCCGAGACTGCTCTGTTGGGCCGAGATGCGCCTCCGCCATACGCAGACATACCTGTGATCAAGATTGAAGAGTATGATTAGTTCAAACAAGTCTGGAGGCTGGAGCGCAATCAAAATCAAGCGGGTCGGAGTCTTGCCCGTATCTCCGCGTTGCATTCGCCCTTTGTGCGCAAGCGGCATCTTGGCTCTATGTACCACCTCAATCTCGGGTTTCCGCTATCTTGCTTGTCTCTGCGCTCTTTTCATGCTTTTTGTTACACCGACATTCTTGCTCCTGCACCCCTCGGGCGCGCCCGGGTGAGAAGCGAGAGCGTTCCACAAGCTCGGTAGGTTTAGCCGACATATTCACCTGTTCAACCTCTACAAGGCGCTACCGACTTGATCATTGCTTTACTATACGCCTCCCTCATATCGTCAAGTATGTCCGTCATCATCGAGCAATACAACAAGGAATGGCCGCAGCAATTCGAAAATATCAAGTCGGAGTTGGAACATCACCTACAGGACATCGACTACCTCTCGATCGAGCACGTGGGTAGTACATCAGTACCGGGACTTGTCGCCAAACCTATCATCGATGTTGACATCATAGTCACTCGCGAAAATGTTCAGCCTGCTATCGACGCTCTCATCGAGAAAGGGAAATTCGATTACCTAGGAGAGCTGGGGATTGTCGACCGTCATGCCTTTAAAGACCCTAACCAATCCAATCGCCACAACGTTTACCTGTGTGTTGACGGTGTTGCACAAACGCGCAACCACCTCAGCTTGCGAGATACGCTACGCTCTGACAGCGAGTTGAGGGATGAGTACGCGCGTGTGAAGCTTGAACTCGCGGCAAAAGCAAACAACATCGTCGACTACATGGTCGCCAAGGGAAATGTGATCCAGAAGATCCTCAAAGCCTCAGGTACCTTCACAAAAGAAGAACTCGCAGCCATCGCTCGCGCAAACGTGAAAGGCGAGCGCTTCGGTGCCATCAAAACAGCCCGTCTGCTCCTCCGCGAGTTCGTGATGAAGGACGAGGAAGGCTACTTCCTTCTCGAAGGAAACGAGCAAAACGCACGTTACCAGGAGTGGCCCCCACGAACACGCCAACAAGCTCGTGAACTCGTCTTGGAAAATATCCGCAACCACAACGACGTGCCGCGAACGAAGTACGAACTCGCCGTCGAGACGCTCGACGAACAATTCATCGGTCGCGTCGGCGCCAAAACATCTCAAGCAAACTCCGACTCCCTTCCAGGTGAATCTACTATCAAACCCGTCACCCACGCTAAACTTTGGTTCTCCTTCTTGCCGTCAATGCAAGGCCAGGGATACGCGACAGAGGCCATGACAGCTTTCATCGATGCCTTGAAGGAAAGACTGCAGAATCAAGGGAAGTTGGAAATGGAGATTGAGTGCGATCCTAGGAACGAGGGGAGTTGGAAGTTGGCGGAGAGGCTGGGGTTTGAGAGACATAGCTTGACGAAGGAGAAGACGCAGATCAAGGGCGAGTGGGTGGATAGTCTGGTTTTGAGGAAGATTGTTGGGGATGTGTAAGTGGTTCATTGTTGATGTTTATGTGAAGGTAGTGCTAACGTGTGATAGGGCTTTTGCGTCGAAGCATGTAAGGAGAGGAAGTAAGGTTAGCAGCAGTATGCGGTTGAGTGCGACGGAACTGTTTGAGAGTTGTCATTGACGACGTTCCAAACGCGTGTTGCGGGACGGCGACGGCATGATTTCTTGGCCTCAGTCTTCTTCTGGGTTTCTTACGGTTAGCAGCTGCTACTACGATGTGAGAAAACAAAAGTCGGTACATTCTCATCGTTCCAGCTACCGTTCCATTGATACTTGTTGCTTAAACAATCCAGAAGTGACTCTAACCCACTAACACAAACCACGCACATGAACGACACTTTGAAACGAGCGACTGAATCGATACATCAAAAGAGTGTGGAGTTGCAAGAACTATAGCAAGGCGATATGTACACCAAAACGAACCCTTCCTCAAGACCACTCAGCAGTATTTCGTCCACAATTTCTGCGACCATGCTACCCCATCACCAACCCCTACAGCCTCCTCTTTCACCCCTGCCCCTTCATCATGACATCTTCCGCTCATCTAGATCGGCGTAACAGCACTAATATCGATCAAAGTAATCGGCTCAAGATCATTCGGCGTAGGCGCCGCGGCTCCCTCCCCATCGTCCGTAGCCGTAGGAAGCGTGATCAACGTAATGGGCGCAAAATCATCGCTCGACTCCGTAGTCGTAGCTGCCTCAGTAGGCAGCGTGATCAATGTGATCGGTGCAAAATCATCGCTCGTAGTCGCCGGCGCGCTCACGTCTGTAGTGGTGATGTTCGGGAAGGTTTGGTTGGCGGTGGGGAAGGCGGTCACGGTGACGGTTAGGGTTGTGGTGACGGTTATGGTATGGGTGAGGGATGTATGGGTGTTGGACCAGGACTTTGTTCCCCAGTGTGCGGCGCGGGGGTGGAGGTCGGGGGTTAGGCGTTTGAGGGGGGCGACGAGGGCGAGGGAGGTGGGCAGGAGGGGAAGGAAGAATAGGGACTTCATAGTGGGAATGATGGGGGTTGGAATGCAGGATAGTGTAGTGTGGTGGTTGATGAGATGACAGGACAAGATGAAGAGGGTAGGATATATAGTCCTTTGGGCCTGGTTCGAATACGTCAACTTGAAGCTGGATGTACAGAGGCTGATATCTCGACGCGTAAACTCGCAGCTATTCTACACGTTCTGCAAGCTACGGAGTACACTGAGTATGTGCCTGTCAGACGCCTTCCGCTGCTTCAAGCAAGTCGCTGTATGCGTATCCAGTGATATCCATCAACTGTTCGTAAGACCACGTGTCGTAGCAAGCCACACATTCAGAAAAGTGCCCATATCGCATAAGCACCTTATCCTCATGTCTACGTATTTCTTGCAGCAATGCTCGAGCTGATGTAGCCGCCAAGACTGCGCGTACTGAACAGGCGTCGGACTTCGCGGTGTTCACTCCCGTGTCCGTATCTACGAAGACGCATACAGCGAACTCTTTGCGAAGTCCGTACCTGTGTTACATCAGCTCTCGCTGAGATGAAGAGCGCAAATGTGCGGCCGTGGAGATAGATAGACTCTTGCTAGAGGACTTGGCGCGAGCGCACTCGATCTCGATAATGCTTGTGCTGCGTGACATACATGTTTCTCCAGAAAATGAATCGCTACGGACTGAATCAATGCTAGTAGATTTGGTTGTGATTACCGATGGACGAGCGATGCTCCGGTCACCTGGGCAACCTTGGAAGGTGAGGAGGCTGGCACGTGGCTGGGCTCGGGCGGATCTGCCCCACCGTGCGTATGATGTCATCAAGTTCTTCCATCCGCTCTCCATCATGTCGGCCCCTTCTTTCACATTTGGACAGTCCCGACAACGCGCAGAACTGGCTCAACCCGCGTCATCTCTCAGATTCATATACGGTTAATTACTAACAATATCACCACCTGTGAACAGAAGATGCCATCGTACAATGCCTCGATAAGTGCATCATGTCCCATCTATCTCTCCTCACCATGGCGCAAATCCAGCAAGGCTGAAAAGCCGCGTGCTTACGGTGGTATAACAGGTCTCATTGAGTGCCGCACGCCCATTGGACACTATTTAGAGGATGACCCAAGGAATGATATCTATTGGTGCCCGCTCGTATACCAAGCTGAATAGCCAGCTTTCATATCTTATTTCAGCTGCGATTGGGAACAGAGATTCTACTCACTCTCCCGCCGTTTACAACTTCTTGTCTGGCTACCATGCCTTTCAAAAAACGAATGGAGCCAGGAGCAGTACTGGCCTTAGAGCAGACACGGAGGAGCTTCCACTCTAAGCACGATGGTGTAGCTCTTCGTAAACCGAAGGAGATATTCTTGGTAAGTTTACTCTTATTTCGTTCTTCGCTTGGAGTCACTAACATCTTGCAGCGTATTCGAAGCGAGAGCTACACGTATGAGTCTCTACCCATGCCCTCGAGTATTCGCATCCTTCAGATAGACCCGGGAGCCTCTTCCGACCCGATTACTTGCCACTTCCGTATCGTAAGCCTGGACGACTGCCCAAGTTTCACCGCCCTTTCATATTCTTGGCAGAAGGACCCTGCGCTGGTCACAGATCTCATGTACAAAGGGGTCTTAACAGTCCCTTTCACTGCATTGTTCAAGGATGTCGCTAAGCCACTTTTCGGAGTTAACAATAGCATCGATGATATCTGGCAGAGGCTCTTGCGGGAAGCCGAAGATAGATGCACAGACTATAACAAGGGCAAGGAAGGAGACGCAAAGCCTATATTTTGCGACGGTAAGACGATCATGATACAGGCCAATCTTTACGAAGCCATGGCTCGCTTACGGTGTTTACAACCTACCGAGTACTGGATTGATGCCGTGTGCATCAACCAAAAGGATCTGAGCGAGAAAACTCAGCAAGTCCAGATGATGGGAAGAATCTATGGTTACGCAGAAGACGTGGTAGTCTGGCTCGGTAACGTGACAAGCTTTGCAGCCTACCCTTTGCAGACATTGTTCTCGGTCTTTGGGTCACAATTGAGTGAGAGAGATACTGTACCAGGACATACGGCGGACGACTCAGAGATTCGAAGGGATTCAGAGGTGATAGTAACAGACGAAATGCTTGACGCAGTGGCCAAAGGATGTCACTTGAAAAGAGCAAAACTCGAATTGATGCTCATCGCGGCCGCCTCTGTGCTCCTCACTCGTCGTTGGTTTCGTCGCCTGTGGGTCGTACAAGAGTCACGTCAGGCTCGTCATACTTTATTCTTACTTGGCGAAAACCAATTCAGAACCGATCTCATCTCGTCGGTATTGCGATGGACTGAAAATAAGATTGAAAGATCGCCAAAAACTTCTGGACAGCGCATGATCACCCGGCTTGGCCTTGCTGCACCTCTATGGCAGGCCCATATCAAGCACATCCCAGCGATGCTAGCTTCTATGAGTTCATCTCGTGACGAAGAAAAGTGGACCTTGCAGCAGTGGCTACGGATGGTAAAGAGTAGAAAAGCCCGTGATGCCAAAGATATGGTATTTGCAGGTCTATCTCTCATACGGCCTGAGGATCTGACCATTGATCTGTCGTTGCAGGCTCAAGGTCCGGACTCACATTCCCACAATCCGAAGGCGCAAGGGCATAAGCCATTACCAAAAGGGCCAAAGAAGCTATGGGACGTTTTACACGCCGACTACAACGCCGAGACCTCGACTGTACTCTTGAACCTCGCGGCTTGTATCCTTTCACATTACGATCTCCCGGTTCTATTAGACATTACGTTACTGTTTCGTCGCCCTCCATCATACGTGGCGCTCACCGAGCTACCCCTGACTTCGTTCCCATCGTGGATACCGGATCCGGAAGCATGGACCTCAAGGGCTCTAGAACCTGTGATATCGCTCAACAATCATGGCCGTCCATTTCCGCTTTCTGCGCACATGTCGAGCTTTCAGCCACAGATATCATCCGATGGCACTAAGTTGGCTGTGACAGCCGCTCTTTTGGACACTGTATCCAACTGCTGTCCAATCCTGGACGTCATACTCAACATCAAGGACTGTACGGGAGCTATTAGGGTGCTCGACTGGATAGCTGACACAGTTCCCCGTGTGTACTATCCAACCGGATCTTCAGGGATAGAGGCTCTGGCATGCCTAATGGTATCAGCTTACAGGAACCCGAAAGATCCCGAGAGGCAATGGAAAGAGGACACTATGGCGAGAGGGTTCTGCGAGATGCTTCATGAGCTAATTGAAGGTTTCGTAGGAGAGGGTGTCAAAATGTGGGTCGAGGAACCCGACAGTCTGCCTACGTGGTTAAAGTCATATCCTTGGCCTTCAGGCTGGGCTGTCGATTACGGTGGTGTATTTAAGGCTTACGCCAGGATCAGAGCAAATCATCCAGACGCCCCTTGGCCACCAAGCAACCTTGGGGGTTCAGAAGGGAGGGAAGTCCTCGATAAGACAAGAGGAATCCACCCTGACACCCTGACAAGGATCTCCGAGACCAACATAAATAGACAGGAGATTTCACACATGGATGAACGATGTGACTTAGTGCGAGACACCGGCGATACTGCGAACACTCGTGACTCTCACGGGAAGCTCGACTGGGCGTCAGATGTGATAGGTTACAATTCCGGAATAGGATTGCAGAGCCTATTTATTACCAAAGGCGGTTATCTGGGAATTGGTCCAAACTGGCTGAGAAATGGAGACGGGGTCTTCTTAGTAGCGGACGCAAAAGCCCCTTACATACTGGCCAAGGTGGACGATGTCTTGCAGAGGCAGGCGCGCGAGATACGTGAGCAGCTTGACACCGGCATGAGCAGGTCTGTCAAGCTAACAAGAAAGCAACGCAAGAGCTTGCAGACACAACTGCTTGAGATTGAGAGTAGGCCTCGAGGAGAAAACGCATGGCAGCTGGTAGGAGAAGCATATGTGGAGGGAATTATGCATGGTGAGGCTGCTGGTCTCGCTGAAGCTAGGGCACAAAGGTACCACATTGCGTAGACATGGAGACGCGTCCATGTTTCGGTACGTGTAATTGAATGAATATTTCGAGAACCTTTGGTGCAGTTCGAGCAACATGAGTCACCCGTTGCGCGCTTTATTAAGAGTCAGTAGACTGGCTCTGCAGAAGTAACGAACAGCCCTACGTTGCTATTGCAACACTAGTGGTCAGATGCCGCATTAATCCTCATTCTTCATCGAGCTTCACCTGCCTTCTACCACATTTTTCAGTGTGCAACTGCAATGGCGAATCAATCATGCGGGACTTTCAATGTTCGTTGGCTTACAAAAGTGGCCGCAAACCAATCATGATAGCACGGCCTGGTGGAAGTGGCCAACGCCAAAGCGGCAAACTTGAATCAGCAAGATCTGGGTTTGTAACATTGTTCTGTTTACTTATCCTTGAAGCAGTTTCCTGGCCTCCAGAATTCCCTGATCAGACGCAGAAGGCCGCGACTGATCGCACCGCCAACATAAACAGTGGAGCCACATGTGTCAACAGGACGGACCGAACGGCGCATGTACGCGTTACAAGACAGGAATCCTCGACGGCACAAGATCTTGTGAAGCAAGGTATCTTCACAAATGCCTGATGTTTGTTTTTTAGAGCCTTACCCGCGACAATAGCTGGATACACCTGCAGTGGTACATTCACGAGGCTCTCGTTGGTACTATGGAATACGCACCGAAATCATCACTCATGTCAATTGGAGTCATCTGCATGCTCGTCTTCTTCAATGGTGTTGTCATACTGCTGCGTTTGCGACGTACTTCGTTCATATAAGAACAGCTCCGGCAGGTTGTTTCTCTTTCCAGGATAAGTCCCACTATTTACAAGAGAATCATTAACCATATTCATTACTAACAAATAGTTACCATGTCTACATCTCCAACTCCAGAGCTCGACCATGTCGATAACGCCACACATGGACCTATCCGACCAGCTACGTCCGATGGACCTGATTCAGAACGTTCTGTGGACGAGCTACCGGTCTTGAACCCCTCACACCCGGATTACCCGCCGCTTCGTCACACTCCGGTTTATTCTCCACAACCTCATGTAAGCCTCGCAAGTACAGACGCAGATAAATCTGTGATTAGGAAAGGGCATTCATCTGTCGCAGCGCCTGCTGGTCAGCTACATGGCGATACTGCACCGCAGACGGCGGACTACAAGATAATCAAATTGAATCCCCCTAAGGAAGCCGAAAACGTCGAGGAAGCCCTAAAGCCCGACAACTCTGATGACGCGGATGAAGACGCCGAATGGGATAAGAGTTCCCCAGCTGGCATCCCACGGCTGGCTGAATACATGGCTCGCGTGCCTGAGCGGGCTATTTTCCGTACCTACCGAACGCTCGGCGTGCAGAATCTCCTCTTCATGCAATCAGAGATCGACTATCTTGAGTGGAAGCTTCATAATGTGATGACCAATTTCAGAGAGGGAAAAGGTGGCATCACCAAAAAATATGCCACAGATTGGGCTTGGCATACAATGGAGGATTCCGCCGAACCACAGCCCAAGCAGTATCATATCATCATGCAGATTCGTGAGAAGCTTGAGAAATACGGTAGGATTATCATTGAACCTATTTGACTATAGCGCTAACCCACGTGTAGAAGAAGCACTTCTGCGACAACGTATGCTCGCCAAGATTGCAGCCCCCGATCAGTTTGATATCGACCTGATTAAATCCTACAACGTGTCTCGCGCTACACGAGATAACTGGATTTTTCACTTTAAGCCTCTTTATGGCCTTCCTGAAGACTGTGTCAAAAATGATCGGTTCCATGGACTTGCAGCTACGGACTTGATCTCGCTCAAGTCCCGCGAATACAGCGACTACTTTACTAACTGGGTCTGTGCGCGGTCACTTACCATACTCAGAGTTTTTGGGAGATTCTTGGAAAAGTCCAACTTCGGTGGCAGTCCAGTGATTTACGACAGCACTCTCAGAGAGTACACCCATTTCTTCACGGCAGTGCTTGCTAGTCTAGTGCCTGTCGCTGTTGCATACATCTCTCAGCAGGAAAGAGATATGTCCCAAATTGTGGTCATGGCGTCGACAAACCTTCTGTTATCGGGCTGTATGGTCTACTTTGCGGACGCGGGAAAAGTGTATCTCTTCCTCGCTGGTATCTTGTAAGTATTTTGCGAAAGACGTAGGTAACGTGAACTGACTGCCGCACAGGTTCTCCATGTTTCAGTTGTTGATGATTTCGAAACAGTAGTCAAAGGTGGAGGAGTTGCCGTCTTGTACGCATGTCTGGATGGAGGTCAGCTGGGCTGATAACGCTACATGATAATCTCCATATCGTCACTGCAGGGCCCGCTAGGGACTGCGAGTCTTTCCTTTGTAATCAGTGAACTCGATGGCTCAATGTCATTTATGTTTTCTGCGATCTTCTTGGGTCACATCCAACAAGCATAAGCTACGTCATTACCCTCCTCCACACGTCTCTACTCGTCCGTGAGGATTCCACGCGCTTCACTCCGACTTGCGCAAGTTTGCGTGGGATCCACTTCTATACCCTCTCATTCTTTCCAAAGCTGACTACAACCTCTCACACCACCGCGATGTCGACTCTACACCCCAACGCTTAGAAGCACGCGACCAACTCCGCCAGAATCAATCAACATGAAAACGCCACCATTGGCCTGTGCCCAATTCATACGCCGCTGCTTGAAGCCGTGTAGTGAGCGCAACCCACCACAAGAAGCCCACTGTCCAATATGCACAGAAGAATACGATCGCAGTAGCCACAAAGCAATGCGCGTCGTCGTCCAGCCACCCGCCCAGTGCAACCACGAATTCTGTCAAGCCTGCCTTGAAAAGATCTTCGCCCGTCGCAAAACCCAAGACAACACCAACCTCTGTCCACTGTGTCGCGCCGTATGGTTTCAAGCCGAATATGAAAGCCTTTCGGCGCGCAGTCGGCGTTTGACTGAAGAGGCTACGGAGGTTCTTAGAGCGAGCAACTCCGCACCTTCCCTCTTCGCGGGCGTGCCCGAAGGCCCTGCGGGCGAAACCATGTCAGATTCTGCCAGGAGAGACACAGATCCAAGACCACAGCCTGCACGTACACCCCGACCTTACGCGCGAACCAGTCAGCCCCGTCCGCCTACGACTCAGTCACCTACTGCATCCGGAGACACTTCATACCGCGAAAACTGGCGCACTGAGCCCCGTCCGCCTGCGACTCAGGCACCTACCCCATCCAGAAACACTCGCTACAGTGGAAACTGGCGCACCGAGCCCGTCTTCACACATCGTGAGTTCCACGCCGCACTCGCCGCAGGACAAGCGACAGCCCGAAGACCAGAGCCACCGCCTACATCTTCATGGCCTCACACACCTACAGCTTCTCATCCCACTCGCCCAACCCCCCAACCCTTCCAATTCGGCCAGCAACGCACCTCCACCTCAGCCTCAGCGCCTCCACATCGACCCCAATCCAACTATCCCCCGGACGATTCAAACTCCACAAACTCCACACGCCAAGGCGAACAGAACAGAGCAGCGCCACCACAAGCTTTCCAGTCGCTCGAGTTCCAACGCCGTTCAGCCGATCTGGATGCTCGCGAAGCCCGTCTGAGGGAACGTGAAGGGGAGCTGAGAAGGATGCGTCAAGCGTTGGAGCGGCGAGAACAGGAGTTTGGTGCTTTTTGTGAAAGAGGGAGACAGCTGTTTCGTGGAAGGAATGAGGGTGTTTGAGAGAAGAGGGGGACTGACGGATTTGAGAGGACGAAATTGTAGAGTGTGCATTTGTGGGCTTATGAGGTTAGAGCTGCTTGCTTCACGAAGGTTTGGTGCGATTGGGGTTTGTTAATCATGCGGGATATCACTGACCAAGGCAAGTGCAGACGACGGATAAGGTCTACTGGTGTCGTGGAAAGTCTAGAGATTGGGCTGGATGGGAACAGGATGCGGATACTTAGTGATAATCACAGTTGTAGCTACAATGGGTTCGCTACTTTAGGCCACTGGCATTTGCTAAAAAGTACAGCAAGAAGCGCTTTCACAATGGGATCGTTTGACAGACAGATGTTTACACCTCGATAACATGGGAAGATAGCAATTATGAAGCTTATTGCATGGATATTTCGCATTCAAATGATACGGGATGTCTACCCCGGATACTGGGACAAGCCAGATCGCGTGATCGTGATTAGCTCGGGATTCCATCAATCCCTGCAAAACCTTTTGTCCTTCTACATCCTCCGGAAATTAGCGGTAAATTGCATCATCTCAACCTGCAGTACGTTCCTCTCCCTTTCAGCGCGCAGAATTTCCCTTTGCTGCTCCTCCTGCTTGCGTTCGAAATTGATACACAGAAGCTCATTGAGATAACGGCTTTGATTCCAGAGACGAGTCAGTGTTCCCCTGAGGGCGCGGTCTTCATCCTGGATATTCGGGTCCGGGCGAACGACTTGAAGAGCCAGGCTTATATGCCCCCCACCCTCAAGTGGGGGAATAGCGATTGTTTCGATGTTTTGCAGAATATTGCTGACTTCGGTTAAGTTGGCCCAGTGCCTATCGCGTTGTTCACGCTGTTGCGGACTGAGGACTTGTTCAGCTTCCTCCCATTCCCATTCCCATTCCTGTTCCTGTTCCTGTTCCTCTTCCTCCTCTTCTTCCTCTTCTTCCTCTTGTTCTTCTTCATGTTCTTCTTCAAATTCTGCTTCAAGTCTTGCTTCAAGTTCTGCTTCAAGTTGTTCTTCTTCTTCGTCGTAGAAGACTTCATAGAAATGTTCTTCTTCGTCTTCGGCGCCTGGCTGCGATGGGGGTAGTCCACCAAGCGCGCCACGTATGCATTGTCGACAAATAGGACAGTAATGGGCCTTTTGCATACCGCTATTGACCCAACATTGTAAGCAGTCTCGGCCGAAAACGTGACTGCAATGTGTCCCTAGAAGCTTGATAGCTACATGCTGATCCTCGTCATAGTCCCCCTGGCAAATAGGGCATTCTGAATCGTGAAGTGTTTCGGAGGCGGACAACACTATGTATCGCTCGATCGTAGCCGGGGGAGGCGCGTTGATCTCAGTCCATATCGATCTCAACTGTGTCATGGCATCAACTATGTGTTCGAACATCCACATCTCGCAACTGTGTGAGCCATCCTGGGACGGCTGGGATGTATGATCGTCGTTCTGCTGATGAGACATCTCGGTACCCATGATGGATTCTGTGCGAGTTATGAATAAGTGCTTGAAGGTTGTTGTCGAGCTATGTTAGTGTGGAGAAGAGGTACTGCAGTGCTTGGTACAATTCTTATAATGCTTCACCGTGCATGAAGCACCCACAGGCTCAAAGTCGACAACACTGTCCAAAACTCGAACCCATTGTGAACCTACCGACTCAGGAGTGAAAGCCTGTTAGGCCTCTCTTTCCCTCGTCCAGCTGGTGTTGACAGTGTTGAGACGGCAGGAGCGATGAGACGAGGCTCTATGGAGTCGCGCAACTTCGCAATGATTTCGTTATGCGAGTAAAAGCATCTGCCACATCGCCGTCAATGGCGACATGATCAGGAATTTCCTTGCACGGCGGATATGTTGTGGCAGTGTTGATGGCGCTCGCGACTGACCTCGGAACACCTGCTAGCCTTTCAAGCTATCACAGAACTGGGTTAGCGCAGTCGCTTCAGGCGCATCCCTGCGGACAAAATGTCGATCACGTTCAACTTTTGGCATCTGTCGAGGTGAAGAGCAGCGAAACACATCGACATTGAAGCCGCAATTGGGATTTATCACGACTCCAACTTAGACATCCTCGTTCATTCAGTTCCGAAGATGGCCGACTCAGCAAACAACTCAAACGTTGCGTCTACCACACAGGCAGAGTCGTCCACCTCATCGTCACAAACACCCACAACACAGCCAGAGTCTGCATCCTCATCATCATCCGCACCGCCTCAGGCGTGTGCGCAATGCGGGAAGTCTCCGGACACGCTCAAGCAGTGCATCAAGTGCCACAGTGTAACGTACTGCAACAAAGACTGCCAGAAGGCGCACTACAAGGCGCACAAGAAAGCATGTCCTATGCTTGCGCAGGAGTACGTGAAGCTGCATGAGCCGAAGATGGCATCGAAATCCAGTTCAAGTGCGCCAGGAGCAAGGGACAAGGGACTGCAGAAGTGGCAGGTACGTTGTTCATGTCTCACTCTGTTGTTAAGTTGGTGCTAATGTCGATAGTTTGATACTTGAGTGTACGTAAAGGCGGTGGTGGCGCGGCGGTTGACCGAGGAAGTGTCTCGATGGGATAAAGCTGGACCAGCGTGGAGCTAAGGTGAAGGTACTTGGAAACAAGCCAAAGCGGCAGGACCCCAGAGCTCAAGGTGGGCTGTCGTAGTCCGCAGGCACAAAAGCTTGGTATAGTGTTTACATTTCTGCGGCTGGTTCTTGGTCGCAGACAATGAGCAAAGCGTATCGTCGGACGGACCTTGTAAGCAGAGTCTGACATCTGACAATCCATGCACGAGTGGATCGGTCGCAGAATTAATAGCGAAGTTTTACGTTTGTAAACTATGGAATAAACCCTGAGCTCGGTAGTGGCGAGATGAAAATGCGCCCAACGGCAAGTCCCGTGACAAGCAGCATGGCGCTGATCATTAACCTAAGCTGCATCCAGCTAAAAAGAAGTTTTCACGGTTTTCGATTGCTGACAATCAAGAATCCGCTGGCCAAAAGAGACATCTCGATGGGAAGCCTAGACTCGCATGGCCCTTCGCCTTGTAGGGCAAAGCGTGTCGCGGCAGCTGAGTGTGGCTGCACTGTGTGACTGCGGGTAGATAGCTTGGAGGCTTGCCAGACCCATGCCAAAGACGCGCTGTAAGCTCGCACCAAAACGTTGGCGAGGGTAGGTGACTGTGGAGCGAATTGAAAACTTGTGCGTTTTGGCCATGAGCTGTGCAGAGACTGGCTGCGTTCTACGAGGCGATTGGCAGGGTGCGGCGCCGTACTGCGTACTCGTGTACGCTGGCTCCCCACGGGAGCCCTATGGGTGTGCGTTCAATTCGTATCAAACAGCTTCAGGACTAGCCCGGCTTGTCGTGCAGCAGGGCATCGACCCACCGAACAGTCGGCGCTGCAAACAACCAAACAACGGCAGCGTGAGGAGCGATGGATGGACATGCTGGTGATGGAGCTAGGCTGCCATGTGTGCAGGGAGCAGCGGGTGCGGTCAGGCCATTTCGCTGGTGTGAATTGCTGTGGCCGCGAGGTCTAGATTTCAGCTGCTGAGACCCTGGGCCTCCAAAACACGCTAGCATCAACCGCAGCGAACATCGGGTATTCACTCCGCAAACCCAACCTAGCCCACCTGGCCCTCGCACCGCGTTGGCCTGGTCGCTCTGCTGTTACATGACTGTCTTGGACGCAGCGACCGTCTTCCCCAGGCGACCATCCACTCGTTTACCGCCAGCCCCTTCCACCTGTCAATACTTCCCACGCGGCCGTTACTGCCGCCGCGGCGCTACCGCGTTTGTACCTGGACGCCAGATCTTTCAGCCACGTCTCCGTGCGTCTGTTCATCCCACTTACCCAGCATAGCGTGATTGTGCGCGTTACCGGCAAACATCTCAGACCCCGTTGGTCATGATGACGGGCTTCCAGTCCTCGTCACATCTTCTACAGCCATCTGACGCTGATAATGCCCCTCCTCGCTTTCACCAAGACTCCCACCAAGCGCTCCAGCCCAACTCCATCCCACCCACTCCGGATGAGGGCATAGATGCGGGTCCCTGCCCCGAAATAGCGGTTCCCAACGATATCTCTTCGTTTCTCGACGCTTCTCTGCCGCAGCCTTTCCCGCTGGCTTCCGCCTTACCCCAGCCTCTTAGGACTCCCACCATCGAGGACCGGCCGCAGCTTGATCTGACCCTCAACCTTCCTCAAAGCAACTTCTCGCTTCCCACGTCCACGGTCCTTAGGAGTACGCACAACCTGCGTCTACCCTCGTTTGATGTCCTAGGCATTGCTGCGCCCCACCCTGATCGTATCCCACAGCAAACACACCACTCCTTCTCTCCCCTAGGCGCTGGACCTCTGTCGAAGCCAGAAGACCCTCTCCATGCGCTCAGCCCACCACTCGACTTCTTCAGCCACGCCAACGGGGCCAGTCATACCCCCGTTACCAGTCCCAAGGAAGCTAGAGCCCGCGTCGGACATCTTGTGTCCACTCACACGCCTCCCTCGGATACGGAGCCGGGGACGATCAGTTGGGGATCCTTTGTGAACCCACGCACGGTTGGGCTGGGTTCGCCTCCAAATTCTGAGCCAGGGGTGTCACCAAATCTGAACATCACTGCCAGCGCTACAGCTCCCAGTCAAGCGCCCATAATCGTACCCACCCACGAAGAGTTCAACGACGAGTTCAGCGACGCGCTGAGGATGGCAGCGTGGATAGAAGAGGCAAAAAGCACCATCGGTGAGTACTTCCTGCACCTGAATGACGCATAGTTCCGTTCGCTAATTAGCTTAGTAAACGAATCTGGATGTCTGGAGTTGGACTCGGTCAAGATTTTGTCCCACGCCTTGCCTTGTCCGTCAACATCAGGCCACATCTTCGGCCAAGTCATCGCTTCGATTCATGACAGATCGTCAACGCAAACCTCGTGGATCAATGTATTCCACGCTCTTCCTGGTCGCTACACGCTCATGGACCTGCCAAAGTCTCCTCCATCGACGCCTGGTCCTGCTGTCGGAGGAGATTCGTACTTTACCAGCAAAGTCTTCGATAGCGCGGTTGCTATTCCAGACTATCAACTCGATTCGAAACTCCTGCCCCCATCGCCTCGACCTGTCGTGCCACCTGGGAGCATCAATGTTTCAATTGTAGAGCGATACATTCCGCCTACTAACACTAATGAGTTCGCTGAGATGTTCACATTTCGGGGTAGATCTCTGCTGTACGATCGCTTAATCGAGCTTTCTAGCGATGACGGCGTCCTTCTATTCATCTATCCGACCAGGACAGGTGCGAGGACCTTTACGCAGCAGTACCTCGGACCAATTCTCGACCCACTCTTACGCACCGTAACGGTAGTCCACGATCTCCACTCAGAGCTAGGAAGGAACCTGGGCCAAATGAGTTCAGTCAATTACCTGGACGAGTACAATCACTTGGAGGCGCAAGTCCGGAAATTCTGCGGAGCGATGGGTGAACGACACAACAATGAGAGAAGAGCAAACTACGAAGTCATCCACGCCGCAAAAGAGGAGATTCTAATGCAACGGTCAGCTTGGGCGGACGATTGGTGGATCAAGCAAGAGAAACCCCGTATACGGGAGATAATCACCAAGTACTTCAGCAAGTCGAAAAAGCTCCCAAGCTCTGAGATGAGCGCTGCAACTCTGATCCAGGCTGTCCTCGAGGGTGTTTCGGAACGGGACTACCATAACGGTGAGCCCACGAAGGGTGTGGAAGTTGGTGTCTTCATCGTGAAGAAAACGAAGGCGGTGGCGAAGGCCCAGAGGGAACCATGATGAAAGATTACGCTTTAGATGACGGGACTGAGTATTGAGCGCGAGGCAACGAAGTTACGGGTGAACGACGATCATGATCTCCAGTTGCGATGATCTTGGATTTCGCATAGCATTGCGCGGCGTTAGCGGCATGAAACGAGCGAGCCCTGTCTGGAACAGTACAAAAGATAGCGAGTGATTATAGTAATAATACCCAGTAACGATCTTCTAAGTTGCAACTTCAAGTTCCAAATTATGTGAACATACCTTTGCTTCCATCGTGTCAAGTTTACCCTCGACCTGCCAAGCCGCTAGCGCGAAAAACTGCCCTTTGCTCACCTTTCGAGTCGCGCTCTGGCTCACGCGGAATGTAGACGGAACTTCAAGCATCTGAGTTGTGCACACCGCTTCGAATACTAGACGCGCTTCTCCATTCTCAGAAGCTTGCTCGCAGATTACGGTCGCTCATCACAGGTACGCGCTCCCGAGGTCCCTTCACGTGTTGCGATGGCGCTAGCCACTTTCGTCAGTCATGATCAAGATGAGGGTACAAGAAGAGCAGGAGTGACTTTATATTGGTCTTTTGCACAGTCTGCTTGGTTTCACTT